GTTAGCCAGGATGGTCTCGATCTCCTGACCTCGTGATCCGCCCGTCTTGGCCTCCCAAAGTGCTGGGATTACAGGCTTGAGCCACCGCACCCGGCCAATGGTCTGACACTTTCACATACATTATTCCTTTATCCCTCACAACACACCAAAGAGGTAAACATTATTGTCCCCATTTTACGGTTGAGAAACTAAGGCACAGAGAGGCTAGGTAGTATATGATGGTCACACAGGATTTAAGGCTAAACTCATGAGTGTCGTGCTCTATTGCTATGTCTGTTTCATTCCCATTCTCCTGTACTCACTAAACACCAAGGGGTATGGCAACTCGTACCCCTGCTTTCCCTGCACTCCCCCAAAGTTCCCACTTGGTCAGCCCTGTGAGAGAAACCAGCCCCAGCCTCTCCTCCCTCTCCCTCTGTTCTGCAGGGCAGTCCTTGCCTGCTGGGAAGGGTTAACAAGGAGTGTTTGTAGCAGCCGCGGTCTCCAAGGAGAGGGGAGGAAAGCAGAGTGGGGAGGCCAGCAGCCACCCCAGGCTCCGTGGCCGCAGCCAGCAGAGGGTAGGAGGCAGCCAGCTTGATCTGTCCAGCCCTGGGGGAAGAAAGGAGTGTCCTCACCTCCACCCGGCCTGAGAAGGGTGAACTCTGAGTGGACTGGGCAGCCTGAGAGCAAGGTCGCTGCAGGGCCACCAGGGAAAGCTGTGGCAAGGACTGAGGAATGTGGGGGAGCAGGGGCTGGGCCTGGCCTGGTGGCTGAAGCCAGTGGCAAGTAGCAGCGTTGGAAGTCCGGGGCTCTCAGCGAATACAGGGGAACCTCGGAATCAGGGAGAACCCAGCCGAAACCCAGCAGCGGTGGGAGGAGAGAGGTGGCAGTGGGAGGGGGGAGGTGTCCACCTCCTCCGCTGCTGGGGTCCAGCCATGTCCCAGCCTGCGGGAGGCAGGAGGAGGCCCGGGACCCTAGAGCCACCTGTGTGCAGTATCCGGCCTTTCAAGTCCAGCGAGCAGTACCTGGAGGCCATGAAGGAAGACCTGGCTGAATGGCTTCGCGACCTCTATGGGCTGGACATCGACTCGACCAACTTCCTGCAGGTGCTGGAGACGGGCCTGGTGCTGTGCCGGCATGCCAACGCTGTCACTGACGCTGCCCTGGCCTTCCTGGCTGAGGCACCTGCCCGAGCCCAGAAGATTCCCATGCCCCGGGTCGGGGTTTCCTGCAATGGGGCCGCCCAGCCAGGTTCCTTCCAGGCCAGGGACAACGTCTCCAACTTCATCCAGTGGTGTCGAAAGGAGATGGGCATCCAAGGTAACCACGCTGCACCCCCTTCCCCATCCCAGATGCTTATATTGGGGGGTATTCATCTTTTCTCAAATGCACAGGCTAGGTCTGGGGGGCAGGATCCTGGGTCCTCATTCTAGATTTGCCTTGAACCACCTTTTTTTTCATGCCTCAATCTCCCCACTTCATAGTAAATTCTCAATAAATAAATATGTTGATGATTGATAAATGCTGATGATTACTTCAGTAAGCATATATCAAGCACCTGTTCTGTGCTGAGCACTTTGCTGGGCGCCAAGGACACAGAGGAAAGAGACCCAGCGCCCAGTGAATTCATGGTCTAGCAAGAGAGGCAGAAGGCCAGGCGCGGTGGCTCACGCCTGTAATCCCAACACTTTCGGAAGCTGAGATGGGTGGATCACCTGAGGTCAGGAGTTCAAGACCAGGCCGGCCTAACATGGCAAAATCCTGTCTCTACTAAAAATATAAAAATTAGCTGGGCATGGTGGCAGGCTGAGATAGGAGAATTGCCTGAACCCAGGAGGCAGAGGTTGCAGTGAGCTGAGATGGCGCCACTGCACTCCAACCTGGGTGACAGAGGGAGAGTCTGTCTCAAAAAAAA